TGAGAATAAAATGCACTCTCAGTTTAGTATAAAAAATGCAAAATATAATCTCATTAATAATTTTTTATGTTGATTACATGTTGAAGTGATAATATTTTGGAGACATTAAATTAAATTAAATATATTATTAAAACTAATTTTAGGGCACTTCGCAGGCTTAGTCAGTGGAGCATGGAACTCTCGATCTTGAGGCTGTGAGTTCAAGCCCCACAATGGGTGTGAAGCTTACTTAGATTAAAAAAAAAAGAAAAGTTAAAAAAATACACTATAGCTGCTAGAACATTTAAAAATACAAATCTGTTGTGACCGAAATAGATTTGCAGTTACCAGAGGCTAAGAACAACGAGTGGGATGAAGGGGAGATAAGAACTCATTGCTGATTAGTATGGGGAGTTTTGTAGGGGTAGGTGATAAAAAAATGTTAAGAAATTAGATACTGGTGTTGGTTGCACAGCTCTGAATATGCTGAAAACCACCTATTGGACACATTTATTTATTTATGATTTTATTTTATTTTAAGATTTATTTATTTATTTTGGTGGGAGAAGGGGCAGAGGGAGAGAGAGATTCCCAAGCAGACTCTTTGCTGAGGTGGGCGGCAGACCTGGGGCTAGATCCCATGACCTGAGATCACCAACTGAACAGAAATCAAGTTGATGCTCAACCGACTGAGCCACCTAGGAGCCCCTATGATTTTATTTTATTTTTTAAAAAGATTAATTCAATTTATTTATTGAGATATATAGAGAGACACAGAGAGAGAGGAGCACAAGCAGAGGGGAGGAAGAAGCAGACTCCCCGCTGAGTAGGGAGCCTGAGGCAGGGTTCGATCCCAGGACCCTGAGATCATGACCTGAGCCAAAGGCAGATGCTTAACTGACTGAGCCACCCAGGCACCCCTCTGATTTTATTTTATTTTATTTTATTTTTGATTTTATTTTTAAGTAATATCTATACACAACTTGGCGCTTGAGCTCACAATCCTGGGATCAAGAGTTGTATGCCCCACTGGGTGAGCCAGCGAGGCACCCCTGGACATTTTTAGGGGTGCCTGGATGGTTCAGTAGGTTAGGTGGCTGACTCTTGGCTTTAGCTTAGTAGACAATCTTTTTTTTTAAATTTTATTTATTTATTCATGAGACACAGAGAGAGAGAGAGAGAGAGAGAGAGAGAGAGAGAGAAGCAGAGACACAGGCAGAGGGAGAAGCAGGCTCCATGCAGGGAACTTGACGTGGGACTCGATCCTGGGACTCCAGGATCACGCCCTGGGCTGAAGGCAGCACTAAACCACTGAGCCACCCGGGCTGCCCTTAGTAGATAATCTTCTTCCTCCCTTCTTTCTGTACCCCCTCCACCTCATGGACACTCTGTCTTTGAGATAAATAAATACATCTTTTTTTTAAAAAAGCTATTTTTTTGTTGTTGTTTTGCTTTTTAAAGAGGGACAGGGTTGTTATGGTCTAAATGTTTGTACCCCCCTGCAATTCATGTTGAAATCCTAACTCCCAGAGTGATGGTGTTTGGAGGGGGGCCCTTTGGGAAGTGATTAGGTTTTGAAGTGGGAAGCCTCACAAATGGGAACCAGTGGCTCTTGTAAAAGAGGCCCCAGGGAGCTAGCACCCTTCACCCTTCCACCACCGTGAGGACCGCAGGGAGAAGACAAGACAATTGTCTCTGGACCAGGAATTGGAGGTCTCACCAGACACCAAATCCGTGGGCATCTTGATCTTGGACTTGCAGCCTCCAGATCTCTGAGAAACAGTTTATAAGCCACCCAGTCTAGGCGGGTCTTGATAAAACCGCCTGAGCAGACTAAGACACCGCCCACTGTCTGTCTACTCTCAGCCCTGGCCTTCCTGTTCAACCCAAGTTAGATGACATCTCTCTGATGACAAGCCCTCCACTTCCTCAAGTGAGGTCTGGTCCTTGAGCCTGCTGCTCCCTTTCTGACTCCACCACCTGCAATTCTCTCTGATGATTTTGGCCATTCCCATCACCTCCTTCTGCCTCAAGCCTTTGCTTTTGCTGTTGTCTTTCACCTTCTTTCAGTGACTATCCTCTCCTGCTCCCTCCCTCCATCTGCTTTGGGCAGAAGTGACTCTTCAGGGACCACCCTGATGTTTAACTTGCACCCCACAGCCCGCCTACTGCTCCCAGGCAGCCCCTCCTGTTGTCTTTTCCTCCACAGTACATGCCCCATCTAATATACTCTCTGATTTGCTTCTTTGTTTATTATTTGTGGCTCCCCATTGTATGTGGGCCCTAGGAGGGCAAAGATCTTTGTGTGTTTTGTCTCCTGATATGTCCCCAACACCTGTCACATTGCCTGGCATCCAGGTGCTTAATACATGTGTGTTGAAGGAATAATGATGGATAATTTAGGGGGACAGGAACAGTGGAGATGAAAGAAGAAAGGAAGTCAACAAATATTAAAGCAGCTCAAGATAATCATCAGAAAACAGGACAGCACGTGAAAAGCACGGCGGGGGGGTGGGTTGTGAATCTTGGATGCCTCCTCTTCTTATCCCCATGCCTCTGGCCTGAGCCCCCCTTAATAGTTTGGAAGGAGTATTGCAGTCTGGGTGGGAGGAGGGGAGGAAATGAGGATGAAGAGGCCTGTGGGCAAAGGTTGGGAGGGGTCTGAAGTCCACAGGGGAACTGCTTCTTACTTCCCTGCCCAGAGGAGGCTGGACTTGGAGCCAGTATTTTAGAAATAACATGACTAAGGAAGATTGCCCCTTTGATAAACAGGCAGATAATTCCCCGTCGGGCTGATGGGGGTGGGCGTGAAGGATTTGGTGCTGGGGAGGTGAATGGGCACCAGGGTTCACTCACCAGTCAGGAATGAGGGATACTGGCTCCTGAGGAGAGAGGCTGCCATTGGAGGGGGACAGGTATGAGCTGGCTGTGAAGGCTGGCGGAGTGGCCTGAGATGCAAACTACCAAGCCATTAATGATTGTCCTCCCCCACCCACCCAGACCACCCCGTCAGACAGGTTATTTCTATTTTTCTCATAGTTCCTTGTTTTGTTGTTTCCCTCCCCCCAAATTCACCATATTTTGTAATTGTCTTGTTTTCTCATTTATTTGTTTCCCTCTCTAGAATCTGAACTCCAGGAGACCAGGGATTTCTCTTGTTCCCTACTCTAGTCTGAGAGTGTATATATACATATATATATATATATATATATATATACACATACATATATATATACATACACATATATATACATACATATATATATACATACATATATATACATATATATACATACATATATATATACATATATATACATATACATACATATACATACATATATACATATACATATACATATATACATATACATATACATATATACATATACATACATATACATATATACATATATATACATATACATACATATACATACATATATATATATACATACATATATACATACATACATATATATACATATATATACATACATATACATACATATATATATATATATATACACACACAGACCTACTATATATATATATATATAGTAGAGACCCTCTCTCTCTCTCTTTCCTTCTTTTCAAAGATTTTATTTATTTGACAGAGAGAGATGGTGAGAGAGCACGAGCAGGAGGAGAGGCAGAGGGAGAGGGAGAAGGAGACTCTCCATGGAGCAGGGAGCCTGATGTGGGACTTTATCCTAGGACCCTGAGATCATGACCAACCGACTGAGCCCCCCAGGCACTCTATGGTAGGGATTTGTCAAATGAATGAATGGACCCAGATGGAATTCTTATCACAATGCTTCTCTGTGGAAAGCTGGTGGACCAGGTAGTCTGATCCTTGTCCCTGGTTTGTGTCTCTTGTCCTGTGCTATGACCTGGATGTCTGGCCCCAAAGGCACGTGTCAGCAGTAGGAGCCTCTGTCCCAGGTGCAGTCCTTGGGCAAGAGCCTCTGTCCTGGGCTCAGGCTTGGAGTGGTGGCTATGTGCAAGGGGTTCCTGGAATTCCTTAGGGATGGATTCATGTGGAGGGGGCAGGGGGAGTATCATGAAAATCTAGAAGAGAGGATGAGGCCTCAACAGCAGAGGGGCTGGAGAGGAGACTGCACGTTTGAGGCATATTTAGAAGGTAAATTAAGCAGGATTGGTTATTCAAGGGAAGAAAACTGTGGCACCAGGGATGATTCTAGGCTTGAAAATAATTAGTGCCACCACCGTCTCTTTCAGGCCTGCAGGTTCTTCCAGCCTAAAGGTGCAGAAATGGCCCCCAGACTCCTGTGCTGCCCCACCCCGCTCATTCCGGACTTTGGGACTACTGGACTCTCACTCTCTCGTGGGTACCGCCTCCCGTGGCGCGTTCCCTGCGCTGAAGGGCCGCAGGTGTGGTCTTGGGGACAGACGCACTCTGAGCACTGCCGGCCACTCGAAAAGGATGCTTGGGGCCACGCGGGACGCGGTCGCAGGAGTCTTCACCCGGAGACCTCCTCTGAGCGCGGTCTCCAGGAAGAACAGGTTTGCAGGGTGGAAGGAGGTGGGCAGAGTGGATGAAGGCTGGAGGCAAAGCACAAGGAGAGGTAATAGGGTGAACCCCGAAGTAAGCAAGAGGGCTGTGGGGCGGCTGGAGCGCGGGGTGGGAGCGCGGGCCGAGTGCGTGACGCGCCCCCCTGGGCAGCGCGCTGAAAGCATCCTGGAGTTTGGAGTCACCTCCCAGCCCCCGGGGACAGCACAGGACGGCGCTAACTGCCCGCTCACATCCAGGTGGGCAGCCGCAGCCCCGCGGGAGCACAGGGAGGCGTCCCCAGCCGCGGTCCTCGAAGTCTGTACCCGAATTCCAGGGCCGCGGCGACTTGGGACAGAACCATTCTCCGGAGGCGGAGAGGGGAGGAGAAGTCCTGCCCTCGGACCCCAAGCCCATGGAACCAGCTGGAGCCGCCGCTGCACTCTTCTCCTTCTTCTGATTTTTGCGCTCTGCTCCTGCCGCCGAGAGCTTCCCGCGCGCGGCCCCCAGGCCCGGGCCCCAGCGGTGGCTCCCGGCCGCCCACTCCCGCGCGTGGTACGGCCCGGCGGGCGCCCACTCGCGGCGCTGGTTATAAGGGCCTTGGCTGCGGCAGCCGCCTGCGGACTCGAGCGAGATGCGTCCTAGGGGGTCGGGCCAGGGCGCCGCGGGGCGCCGCGTCAGGCCCGGGGCTCCAGCGCGAGTCACCCTCGCGCCGCGCCCCGCGGCCAGTCCCGCTCCGGAGCCCTGCGCGCGGCCCGAGCGCGGCCCTGGGCACGCACCCGCGGGGGCGCAGGCGGCAGGCTCCAGGTCCGCGTGCGTCTCGGGACCCCAGGCCCGAGCTCGCCCCACCTCCAAGGCCCCCAAGGCCGGATCCACGTTCTCCGTTCTCCAGGGGAATGCCCAGGCCGTGCCCCGCAGCTTGGACGCGCCATGGACCCGCTTCATATTCCAGGGGCCCTTGGGTCCCCGGGCCGCTGGCCTGGGGACTGGGAAGGCGGCAGGCATCTGGAGGACGCTTCACCCAGGGCCTGGGGTGTCGGGCCCCGACCGTGCCGCCTTCATTCGGGAGCTGGAGGAAGGTAAACCGGGTCCCCGGAACCCCAGAGCTGGTGGGACCCGGGCATTCCCAAGGAGAAGGGGGCCCCGTCGGGTCCAGGCGCCCCGCCCCCCGGCACTCAGTCTCATCCCTCGGTCCTCCTGCGATGTCGCTGTCTGCGGGGCCTGTCCGGTCGCCTCCTCCCCATCTCCTTCCTCCTCCCTTCTGTCGTCTCCCGATTGCTGTCGGTGGGTCCGGTGCAGGGGCTCCGCGCGCGCCCGTTGCTCCGCAGATCTGCGCGCTGTCCAGGGCACCCCTGCCCAGGCTCCCGCAGTGCCCGGAGGGGGGGGGCGGGGGGCGGGAGGGCGCTGCCCACCGTGCTCTGAGTCTGCGCTGGCCGCCAAACCAGCGCCGGGGAGGGGAGGGGGCGGCGGAGGGGGCGGCTTTGGCAACCTTTAGGGGAGGGGGTCAAAGCCCTGCCTTCCCCAGCCTGGGGGTGGGCTGGGCCTCAGGTTTCTTCCCCTCGTGGTCTCTCCTGGGTGGTGGGAGATCCCTGGATTGGGTCTAGAGTCTCTCCGTCCCCCTACTCAGTGCTGGAAAAGTCTCTTCCTCCTCTCCACATGCAACAGGTGCACGGTGGGTGGGTGACTGTGTCTTTTTTTTATGACCCATGAAGCTCCAGTGAGTCGGCCAAGGCTGCCCTCTGGGGAAGGGGTGATGAGTCAGTCTGCGGCTGCACTTCCATTCCACTAGCCGCCTGCATTCTTCTAGGTGCCAGGGACCCAGGCGGCCGAGCTTGGAGGACTGTGATCCTTCACCTCACCCAGGGCTTTCCAGAACAAAAAAGAGTCCAGTTGGCCCTGGGAGCAGGGAAGGGAGTGCTCGGTACTGGGGGTGTGTGGAGAGGATATTGGAGGCAGGAAGGGAGCTCAGTCTTCTTCTTCCTTGTCACTGACTCTTGTTGTTGGGGGAGAACTGGGGAGAGGGCAGGAAACAGAGAGATGTGAGGTAGGTTATGAGCCCCCCTCCCATCTTTCTGACCCAGCCACTCCACCTGCTTTTGCAGCTCTGTGCCCTGACAGACACTTGCCAGTCAAGATCACCCAAGAAGATGTCAAAGTGATGTTAAATTTGCTAGAGGAGGTGTGTACTGCCTTCCCTACTGGGGCCAGCCTGAGCCTTAGCCAAGCCTCCATGCTAATTCTGCCCTGGAGGGGTAGGAGTCTTGTCTATTTCCTGCTTGACTATTTCTCTGGGGGCCAAGCTGGGGGATCCCTCTTATGGAAAGCAGGTATATGTGGGATGTCTAGGCTGGAATTGGTCTCAGAACCATCTGATCTGTTCTCTTCTATAAGGGGAAACTGAGTCGGGCCCCACAGTGGGTTGATGGCAGACTCTTCTAGTACCCTGGAAAACTAGGGTGTGGAAGGGTTTTGTTTAGTGGCCTAGCTTCCCGCTGACCCCTGTGTACTCCTTCGCTTCTCCCAACTGTCTGGGAGATCCCAGAAAACAGGAAAGTATTCCCCATGGATGTGGGTCCCTCTGCAGAGAGAGCGGGACCTAAATACGGCGGCTCGCATTGGCCAGTCCCTGGTGAAGCAGAACAGTGTTCTGATGGCGGAGAACAGCAAGCTGGAAGCCATGCTGGGCTCAGCCAGGGAGGAGGTAACTGGGCAGGGAGGAGGGGTAGGGGGGGTGCCATCCCAGACCTGCCTCATTGCCCTTGTGCCAGGACCTGTGCCTGCCCCTGCCTGCGTTCCAACAGGGATCCTCTCCCCCACTGCCAGATTTTACACCTGAGACACCAGGTGAGCTTGCGAGATGATCTCCTTCGGCTCTACTCAGACTCTGAGGAGGAAGAGGAAGAAGAAGAGGAAGAGGGGGAAGAGGAAGAAGAGGAGGAGGAGGAAGAGGAGACAGAGGAGGAGGAGGAAGAGGAGGAAGAGGAGGAGCAGCATGATCATCCCTATGGAGCCTCTGAGCTGTGAGTATCCTGCTTTTTCATCTGGGAAGCCCCTTCTCTGTGCCTCGGTTTCCATATTTGCAAACAGGGACACGTGGGGTAGCTGCCAGCAGGGTTGCTGGGCCAACTGAGACCACCACATTTAGCCTGAGTGGGCCAACCCTGGGTGGACTGGGACCTGGGTCCCCCCTCTCCCCCCTCACGGTGCCCTGACGCCCATGGCTCCCACCCCTAGGACTTCTCTGGAGGAGCCGGAGTCACTGCACTTCTGCCCACAGCTGGAAGCCCTCCAGGATCAGCTGAGGCTGCTGGAGGTGGAGAACGAGCAGCTGAGAGAGGAGGTGAGGATGTGGCAAGGGGGCGCCCCTGCAGGCAGGGGCCTGTTGACTCCCCTGCCCCTTCCTCTCTCCCTTCCTCTCTCCCTCCTTCCAGGCCTCTCAACTCGACGCCCTGGAGGAGGAGGAGCAGATGCTCATCCTGGATTGTGTGGAGCAGTTTTGTACGTGGGGTTGTAACTTTTCATGGAGGGCTATCCCAAGGAGCAGAAGGAAGACTCTGAGTTTGAGTTCCAGCTCTGACTCGTTCTAGCTGTGTGAGCTTGGACAAGTTCCTTGGCCTCTCTGAACCTTCATCTTTAGAATGGGGAGGAATAATCTCAGCCCTGCAGACCTCTCCAGAGGCACAGCTGAGGAAGTGCTTTAGCACACTGTAAAGAGCTGTACAGAAGCTAGGGGGCCCCTCTATGCCTGTTTCCTTTTGTTATTTGGGAGGTGCCTGGAAGCAAGGAAGAGAGGAGCTGTGAGCTGCCAGAGACCAGGAGAGGCCCCGGGACTGGGGCAGGGGCTGGGCTGGTACCAGTACCGTGTGTTTATGATGAGGGAGGCGCAGCGTGAAGCCAAGTCTAGTTGTGAGATGCAGGCACGAGATGGCAACATGCTGCTCCCTCCCCGCACGCCTGGCTTTCCTTCCCTTGGTTCCTGCCCTCGGAGCTGGTCCCCAAGTTCTGTTGCTTCCAAATACCTCCTAAGAAAGGCTCAAGTCTCCTTCCTTCTCCTCACCCCCTGCTCTAGCCCAGGTCTGGTAAGGTCTGGTCTTAAATGGTCACTTTGTCTGTACTGCTGTGCTTCCAGGTCCTTCTGCACACAGCCCAAATATAGTTTGTTTGTTTGTTTGCTTCTTTTTTTTTTTAAGATTTATTTATTTGTTCATGAGAGACACAGACATAGGCAGAGGGAGAAGCAGGCTCCCTACGAGGAGCTGATGCAGGGACTCGATCCCAGGACCCCGGGATCATGCCCTGAGCCAAAGGCAAACGCTCAATCACTGAGCCACCTAGGCAACCACCCCCTGCCCCCCAAATAAGTTTTCTAAAGCCAAATCTGACTATGTCATCCTGGGCCTAAAACCCTGAACTTCCCTTTGGCCAAAGGGTAACCTCAGCCCCCTGCCCAGCCCCTAAGCCCTCCCTCCCAGGGCCTGGTGATTGGCTCTGGGCTGCTCCACGTGCTGCCTGGACCTGGTTCACCCTTCTTTGCCCGGCTGGCCTGCTTACCCTGCAGGTCTTCGCTTCGAAGCTGGTGTAAGGCAGGATGGGAGCCGCAGCTCTGATTCCCAGCGCACCCTTTACACTTGCTCTGTCCTACCCAGAGTAGGCGCTGGTGGAATTTCCTTGCCCATCGATGTCCCCACTAGACTTGAGCTCAGTGTGCACTGGGACCTGGTCTCGTGGACTGCTCACCCAGGGCTCACCGAGGGCCTTCCCCATGTCAGTCAACAAACATTTATTGGAATGAAGACCCAGGGAGGAACACAAAGTCCTGGAAACCCAGAGTCCTCTGCAGGAGCCGAGGGTTGGGGCAGATGGAGGCATCGGGAGGGCCAGACCGGTTGCTGAAGGCCATGGGAGCCAGCGCTGACCTTCCGTCCCTGCCCTTCCCCAGCCGAGGCCAGCCAGCAGATGGCAGAGCTGTCAGAGGTGCTGGCACTCAGGATGGAGAGCCATGACCAGCAGCGGAGGGAGGTCACCCAGCTGCGGACCCAGGTCCTGAAGCTGCAGCGACGCTGCCAGTCGGTGCGTCTGGGTGTGTGCATGGCTCCCTCCTTCTGTCCTGGTCCCCACAAAACCCCAGCCCCCTTCTTCCTGCCCTGGCCTCATGGAGCTCTCAGCTCAACCAGGCTCATAGGCCCCTCGCTGTGGCAGAGTCAGAGTCGGAGGAGATCTCAGTGAGCATCTCATTCTGCCCCCTTGTTGTCGCAGGGAGGGGACCAAGGCCCAGAGAGGGTCACGGGGTGTTTCAGGAACCAGGCCACACGACTCTCCTGCCTTATGTGGCCTCATTCCCTGTGACTTCATACTTCAAGGGTTGCCAAAGGCTCATCAACATGCCTGGGGAGACTTGGCGGAGGTGGTAGGGACTTGGGTGGGGCTGGCCAGTCCCGGGTCTGGCTGACCTGTCTTGGTCCTTCCAGTATGGGGTTGAGACGGAGAAGTTGCAGCAGCAGCTGGTTTTGGAGAAAGAAATCCAGATGCGGCTCCAGGATGAGGTGAAGCTCCCCCTGGCTCCTGCCCCAGCCTTTGAGAGCCCCTGGCCCAGAGCAGGGAACTGGGGGCCCTTGGTCAGCTGGCTGAGGCTGACTCTCCCTGGAAGACGACGAGCCCCTTGAACAGGCTCTGGGTCTGTTCCTTTACATGCCCTCGGTATCTGGCATGGGGCCTGGCGGGTAGCAGCTCAGATGGGGTCTGAGTGGAGGAGAGTCCGGGGACCTGCCTGGGGGCACTGCTTGCCTCTTAGCCCACACTTCCCTGCACGGTGGGGAGAAGATGGGCCTAGTGTGCTTGTCTGGGGGTGCCTGGGTCCCCGCAGAACCTGCAGGTGGCTTCCCAGCTGCAGGGCCTGCAGGAGAAGTACACGGAGCGTGGGGGCATGCTGACTGAGGCCCAGGAGGAGGTGAAGACCCTCCGCCAGCAGGCCTCTGTGTCCACTGGTCCTGTCACCCACTACACATACACCGCACCTCTGGTGAGGATCCCCAGCTGCCTGCCTCAGCCCTCTGTGTGCTTGTGCCTTGGCCCCGCTGGCTGATTTCTATCCCCAGTCCCTTTCTGTCCCTGGCAGTAGCGGCTGGAGTTTTGGGGGGGTCCCCTGGTAATGCCTGCCTTTCCACTGTAGGATGCCCTTCCTGGTTTCCAGGAGACCCTGGCCAAGGAGCTCAGAATGTCTATAAGGAGGATTATCTCAGACCCTGTGTTTTTTATGGAAAGGTGACCCCCGGGCCCTTGCCTGATGTGCACTCACTTTCCTAGAGTGGGGAGGGGGTTTGCTTCCTACCTTCCTTCACTCATGATGTTCCCTGTTACCTGCCCCAGTTCCTCCCCCTCCCCACCCTTGTCTCTGTCCGTGGGTGTGGGTCTGTCATTTTTCCCTGGGATCTTTTCCCATGTTGGGGCCCCAGGGACTTTGTGGTTTCAGCTAATGTTGCCTTGGGACAGTGAAGGCCCTTTTCTCTATTGAAGGAATCATGGAATTACTGCAGACGAGATGCCACACCTGGGGTAAGCTGGCCAGGGGCTCCCCTGTCACCTGCTCTCACTTTTCAGCAGCCACACAACCACCTGTGGGCCTGCCACCCTGGAGAAAGCTCTACTCTCTGGGCTGGCTGCGCCCAGATGTTCTGAGAAGGGGCTGCACCCTTTCCCTTCCGATCTTGCCCCATATGTGGCCATCTGACTTAGGCTGTTCCAAATAGGGACTGAAGCCTTCCCTTCACCTCACTAGGGACTGAGAGGTGAATGAGCACTGGCCTAGGAGCTGGAACCATCTGGGACTGAGTCCCAGCTTGATCCCTTTATTGGCTGTGTGTCCTTTGGGCAAATCCCTTGACCTGTCTGAGCCTTACTAAAATGGATTTGTTCCTATGGCAACTAGCTGTGGCATGGCCTGTGATGGTTAAATCCTGGAGAGGAGTGGAGGGAATATACTATCCTTGCTGCTCTGTGCTGTGCACAGGGTGGGAGTACTAGGGGATGGCAGGGCTTGTGCAGTGTTGGTGACTGTTCTCTCTCCTTCTCACCTGGTTCCTGGGCTGAGTATTTGAAGCCCCGAGGGTGGTACCCAGCTCCCCTTTCCCCTTGGCTGGGACAGAAGTGGGAAGTTAGCCATTGGGTGTATGTGTAGATGGGCAGAGAGCAGGAGAGCTCCTCAGCCCTGGTGGCTGGGGATGTCCTGGGGGAGCAGAAGAGGGGGGCTGAGGGCTCTGGCTGGGGTTGGCTTTAGGGGCACAGAAACTTTCCTGTCTCCCTGCCCAGGTACAAGCTGCGCTGCGGTGAGGCACAAGAGCAGGGACGGGGGTTTGAGGCTGAGAAGGGGTTAATGAGAGCAGAGGATTTTGTGGCAGAAGATTTTGTGCCTTCCGAGGAGTCAGTACCTGAGGAAGAGCCAGGGGCTGCAGAAGAGGTGGTGCCAGCTGATGAGAGGTCGACAGAAGAGGCAGAGCTTGTGTCTGAGGAGACTGAGGCCTGGGAGGAGGTGGAACTGCAGCTGGATGAGACAACGAAGCAGACGAACACAGTGACTTCAACCCTGGAGGCCACAGGCTTGGGCCCCTCTCACCTAAGCATGAAACATGTCCTCCAGCAGCTGGCTAACTGGCAGGACTCGGGGTACAGGCGGCACCTGAGGCAGAGAATGCTCCAGGAAGGTGGGTGCTCCCACAGGGGCCTCCCTTCGGCCAGGACAAGCTGCAGATCATCAAGCCTATGAAAGTTGAGGACAGGTGAGCTCTGGGGTGCTCACTTACCCCAGCCTGGCCCCACCCACTGGGCTGATTTGCATGTACTTTGCATATCAGTTGCATAGGCACCTCTGGGTTCCTTCGGTAGGAGCTATAGCTCTAATACTCATTTATGTGGAATTTGCCTAGGATTTCAGAGCTCTACCCCCTTTTCTCCTGGGAGCTGGGGCTGGGGATCAGATCAGGACTACAGCTCCCCATTGCACCTCAGCTTCCTCTCTCTCCTGTCCCCTTCCCTGGCCTCCCACTCCACCTCCCCCATCCCCAGAGCTCCCCAGCCATACAGCAGTGGTGGCAGCAGTGGGTCAAAACTGTGTAGGGGGAGGGATCTCAGAGCAGGAGCTAGGATGCTTACCCAGGACTTCCAGTGTCTGGAGGAGGACAGGGCCAACCCCCCTTCCAGGGCCTGGGAAGAAGGAAGGTGTCCTGGGGCCACCCAGGCCATTGGGACAAAGGCCTCTGCCAGCAAGGGTTGAAGTTGGACTAGTTCCCTGGGTAAGTCTGAAGATGGGCTAGAGTCTCCTTCAGGGTGGCAGGGGGTGGGCCCGGGTCTCCTCTCCCCAGCTAGAAACCCCAAGGTTTGGGGAGCTGCACCTGCTTAATGCCAGCTACATGCTCTGCGAGTGTGAGTCCTGCCTTCCAGGAGCTCACAGAGATACCAAGGTGATTTAGTGACTGGCATTGTTTCCTTTCATACTCACACCCCCCATAGGTAGGAGTTACCATCCCCCTTTGTTAGGTGAGAAGCCTGAGGTTTGCAGAGCTAGAGTAGCATGTTCAAGGTCACACAGCTCACACAGCTGGAGTGGATCTGAGCCTGTTTCCATCACTACGACACCATAAGCACCATAAGGATTTCCTGGCCTGTCTCTCCCCTCTGACCGTGTCTGCTGCCTGCCTGGCCTGCTCAGTCAGCTGTAAAATTTATAGCCTGTTGTTAGCCTTACTGTCATTATGTGGCCAGCCCCCACTCCGATGGCCTTGTCACTGCTGGGCAGCCTCAACAGGGTCACCATGGAAGGTTGTGCAGTTTGTAAACTGAACGGTGACCTCGTTGGCTGGCCTGCACAACGATCCATCCTGGTTATCTTTTTGATACAGCTGACAAGGCCTCAGCCCCTGCCCACTATCGGCCTCCAGTTCACATCCGTTCCCCTTCTCTTCCAGGCTTTGCTGTTCCTCAGCAGCCTACAGAGGCCCCACAGACAGACCGAGGCCCCTCCTTCAGCTGCCTGGCCAAGTCCCACCTGCCCCAGAAACCTCCTTCCCATCCTCCCAAACAGGACCCTCCTGTCTGTTGCTAATGCACCATCAGTCCTGACCAACTTAGGCTGGGGCTCAGGACCCCGGTGGGTCTGGCCCTGCTCCCTGCTCTGCTGCTCGCTCTTCTATTGTTTGTCAGGCCGTACACCTGCCGGTACAGGAAATAAAGGACCTGTGTGCTACCTGGCCGGGACTCTGGCATCTTTCTTGGAGTGTGCACATGTGTGTGCATGTGTGTGCATGTGTGTGTGCTCATGCCGGCAGCTTTGCTGCGGCAAAGTTGTAGAGAGAGAATGGGCTCTAATACTGAATCATGCGCCAGGGCTTTTTTTTTTTTTTTTTTTTTTTTAGATTTTATTTATTTATTCATGAGAGACACGGAGAGAGAGGCAGAAACATAGGTAGAGGGAGAAGCAGACTCCCTGCAGGGAGCCTAACATGGGAGTTGATCCCAGGACTCCGGGATCACGACCTCAGTCAAAGGAAGACAATCAACCACTGAGCCACCCAGGCATTCCTGCCATATGCTTTTATTAAAAACATTACTTAGTCACATCAACAACCCCTGTGGAGTGGTGGGTGAGCTGATAAATGGTTGTTGGAGGATGAAACAGGCCCAGGCAGGTTAAATGACCCCCCCAAGGGTCTAGCAGCTAGCCACGGAACTGGGATGTGAACCCAAGCCCTCAGGCCTCTGGAACCTACAGTTAGGCTCCTTTCCTTGTTTTTCTGCTGCAGGGATTCTGGCCCAGTACCCTGGCTGCAAGGGATAAGACACAGACCGACAAGAGTCACCCACTGTCTTAGGTAGAGATCCCTCAGACCTGAAATCAGATCTGGAACAGCATTTGAAAACAAGTAGTTTGGAAGATGATCCAGGAAGCACTTCTGGGCGAAAGTGGGGAATTGAGAATGGGAGGATGCTAAAGAAGGGAGATGCTTCACTGACTGAACCACTCAGGCGCCCCGGTTTATTTATTTTAGAGAGAGTGCATGTGAGCGAGCATGGAACCCAACACGGAGCTCAATCCCCAAGATCATGACATGAGCCAAAATAAGAGTTGGACGCTTAACCTACTGAGCCACCCAGGTGTCCCATCATATGGCCATTCACAGACAAGACCCCCAAGGAAACCAGCTGGCCTATTGCCATCATGGTAACTCTTGCACCTTAACCGGTGACAACCTGATTGCAACTGTTGTGCCAGTGTGGGCAGCTTTCCAAGGAGAGGTCAACACAACCTCTGATACCTATCTGCTGCTGTTGATTTGATGAAAACTTGATTTCCTATCTATTTACCTGGAACAGACTGCAGTGCCCACTCATAGTCTTGCCCAAGTCTGTGTCAGCTCCCTGGCTTTCTGTCACAATATCATCCGATGCAATATAATTATCTAGACATTCTGCAGAGTACCACTATGGTCCAATTCATCGATGTCATCATAATAATCAGACCTAGTAAGGAGGAAGTGGCAAGTACTCTGGCTGCCCTGCTGCTAAGACACATGTGCGTCAGAAGTTGGAGCACAAACCGTTCAAAAATTCAGGAATCCTGGTAAAGTTTTTAGGGATTCAGTAGTCTAGGGCAAACCTTACCTCTACTACTAAAAAAAAGAGGCACAGGGCTTGCTAGGACTCTTTGGGTTTTGGAACTAACACTACTGTCCTTGGAAATACTGCCCTGATCCATTTATCAAGTGAATTAGGAGGCTGCCAGTAGAGCCCAAATCAAGGAAGAATTCTTGGGCCAGTCCAGGCAGCCCTACTGATTGGAACTTATGACTTGGTGGACCCCACAATGCTAGAAGTATCCATGGTGGACAAGGACACCATGTGAAGTCTCTGACAAGTCCCAATAAGAAGCACAGTGCAGGGACGCTTGGGTAGCTCAGTCATTGAGCATCTACCTTCAGCTCAGGGCGTGACCCCGGGGTCCTGGGACTGAGTTCTGCATCAGGCTCCCTGAGCCTGTGTCTCCACAGCCTCTGCCTGTGTCTCTGCCTCTCTCCCTGTGTCTTTTCTGAATAAATAAATAAAATCTTTAAAAAATAAAAGAACTGTAGTGCAGACCCCCCTAGGACTGGCAAACTTTCTCTAAAAGATAGAAAATAGTTTAGGATTTGCAGGACAAGAGGCAAAACCAAAGATATGATGTAAGCATTCAAATAACAATGTAAAGTGTAGCCATTTAGGGGTGCCGCACTGGCTCCATGGAAGAAGCATGTCTCTTGTTCTTGGGGTCATGAGTTTGAGTCTCATGTTGGGTGTAGAGATTACTTTAAAAAATAAAAAAAGGGGCACCTGGGTGGCTTCGTTGGTTGGGCATCTGCCTTGGGCTCAGGCCATAATTCTGGAGTTGAGGGATCAAGCCCCACATCAGGCACCCTGCTCAGTGGGGAGTCTGCTTCTCCCTCCCCATCTACTGTTCCCCTTGCTTGTGCTCTCTTGCTCTCTCTCACTCTCTCTTTAATACATAAATAAAATATAACAAAAAAATAGGGGCACCTGGGTAGCTCAGTCAGTTAAGCATGTGACTCTTGATACCAGCTCAGGTCTCAATCTCAGGGTCCTGAGTTCAAGCCCCACGATGGGCTCCATGCTGGGTATGGAGCCTACATCATACATACATACATATATAAAGTATAGCCATTTAAAAATATCCATCCCAGGGGTGCCTAGGTGGCTCAATCAGTTAAGCATCTGTCTTGGGGATCCCTGGGTGGCTCAGCAGTTTAGCGCCTGCCTTTGGCCCAGGATGTGATCCTGAAGTCCCAGGATCGGGTCCCACATCAGGCTCCCTGCATGAAAGCTGCTTCTCCCTCTGCCTGTGTCTCTGCCTTTCTCTCTGTGTCTCTCATGAATAAATAAATAAATAAATCTTAAAAAAAAAAAACCAGCATCTGTCTTCAGCTCAGGTCATGATCCCAGGGTCCGGGATTTCCCTGCTCAGTGGGGAGCCTGCCTCCCCCTCTCCCTCTGCTACTCCCCCTCCTTGTGCTTTCTCTCTGTCAAATAAATACAGTCTAAAAATTAAATAAGTAGATAAAATCTTCACAAAATTGCCATATGATGGAGTCCATCTCCTATGCACTCTTTAAGGATGGTATTAATCTCTGCCATTCCACCTAAAATGTATTGTGAGCAGGAGGGCGGCTTCACTTAGCTTTTCTCCCCATGATGGCACTTGCTCCCCATGACAGGGAATTAATGTGAGGGTTCTGACAGTTTTTAAATTTATCTGTCCCTATCATGCAGTTGGGGACCAGAGAATGACCAATTTGTGTCCAAGGATCCATTGGTTCTACTGTGAGACAGATGCCACTTGTCACTTGGCCTCCATGCTCTCTCTCTTTTAAAGATTTTATTTATTTATTTGAGAGAGAGAACAAGTGAGCAAGTGAGCAAGGGCACAAGCAGAGGGAGCAGCAGAAAGAGAAGCAGATTCTCTGCTAGGCAAGGAGCCTGATGTGGAGCTCAATCCTAGGACCCCAGCATCATGACCTGAGCCAAAGGTGGATGCTTAACAAACTGAGCCTCTCAGGCGCTCCAGAAAAAAAAAAATTAAAGATTTTATTTATTTGTGGGAGAGGAGCAGAGAGCGATTCCCCACTGAGCAGAGCCTGGACTGGGGCTTGATCCCAGGACTCTGGAATCATGACCTGAGCCGAAGGCAGATGCTTAACTGCCTGAGCCACCCAGGTACCCTAGAAATTTTTTTTTTTACTTAAGTAATCTCTCTACCCAACATGGGGCTCAAACTCAGGACTCTGAGATCAAGAGTCTCATGCTCTATTGACTGATCCAGCCTGGCGTGGCACCCCGATGAGCTCTTTCTTTAACGTAGGTGGAGGTGTGATGACATTTGGGGTTCTCTGGTGTGGTAGCAGCTCAGACCCTGTATACAACAGCTTTCGAAATATCTGGGTGTGCCTCCTTCTCCAGTGTACACAGGTAAATGGCAACTTCTGAGAATTGTTGCAGATTTGTAAACCAGGCAATGGATCTTGATTTTTCATTTTGGCAGTTGACATCAGCCTTAGGCTCATCTGCTCTTGATCCATGCTCCTTGTATAGGGCAGACCATGCCCTTCTTGGCCACCCATATATCTCAAGTTTAGAAACACCATGGTCTGTCAGCTGCCGCTGCAAATCCTGTGGGTTAAGGCCTACTACTGACTATGTCCACTTTACTTCTGATGGTTAAGTGCTGACACCTGGTCCCCTCTGTCTTGCAATCCTGTCATCCCCACTGACACTAAGTAGCCCAGGTCCATAGTAGCATCTCCTACATCAACCCTGGCCTGCAGCGGATAGCCACTGCTGAGCTTCTCAACAACTTTTGTGTCCTCACTAACACATTTGTTATGTCCTCTGGAAAAGGACTATTCTTTGGGCCCTTGCAGGGACTGTAATCATGTGGTGGATGCTCTTGTCTTAAATGACAATTCATTCTAACATGCCTACCCACATTTTGACTCTTTCCTCAATACTCTGCTGGGGCAATTTGAGGGCTTCACTTCACTTGCTATAGGCCACTGCTTTGTCCAAGCTTCAGGGAGTCATTTCCAGCAAGGCATTAAGACTGGCTCTGGGTGTCCTTGCCAGGACCTGAAACTCTAAGTTAATGGGAGACTGTCCTCCTCTCCCGTATCCACAAACTCTCCCTAACCAGTCACTCTGCCATTCTCCAGCCAGCCTCCTTGGTCTGCCAGCCTCAAAAATCCCCTACTGTGTGTACTCTCCTGGTTCTTGCTGTGACACATTATCCAGCTTATTCAGATCTTTCAGTATTTTGGGTGAATAATACCTTTTCCCACATGTTTGGGACAGTGCTTCCGCACATCCTAAGACCTGACCCTAGCTTCTGGTGCGGAAGCCCTGAAGGGAGGCAGGGGCAGATCTTGAGAAGCATCAGTTTGCAAGGCATCTGCCTCAAGGAGGCCTTGGCATGATCTCCAAGGAAGGGGAGGCTGCTCCCCTCTGGCAAGGTGGAGGCACTTCTTCAGCCCAGAAGGTTCCTGGAAACCTAGGAGTTCAAAATTCTTCAGGGCATCTCAAATGACCCATGCAACGTGTCATGGCCCCCTGCCTTTCTTTTCTTTTTTTTGTTAACAGTTTATTTTTATTTTTTTAAGGATTTATTTATTTATTTATTTATTCACGAGAGACGGAGACACAGAGAGAGGCAGAGACACAGGCAGAGGGAGAAGCAGGCTCCGTGCAGGGATCCTGATGTGGGATTTGATCCTGGGCCTCCAGGATCAAGCTCTGGGCCGAAGGCGGCTGCTAAACCGCTGAGCCATCCAGGGATCCCCGGTCCCCTGCCTTTCATTCTAGGACTTTGACGGGAGAGACTTGCTGGGGTTCCAGCTTATCAGCTTTCTTTGTTATCTGACCTCCTACATTCAGATCTTGGGTTTGAGTTAATGGTTGGCTGACCTGAGGTTAACATTTTCTTCCTTCAGAGATTCTCTGATGATTAGTGGTAGCCAACAGATGACACAACCATAATCATCATTGCTCTTCTGTCTCAAATGCTGAAGCAATTGGCTATGCCAGTGCACTTCTACGACTTGTACCCCATCCGGATGCACCAGCGATGAGAATCTTAGTAATAGTGTTGCCACAACACTCCAGGGGTTATCACACCCTGCTTAACACCAGCAAAGGAGTCTGGTTAGTGAAAGATCAGATTCCAGAACCCCAACATGAGAATGTTGCTTTCTACAACTCTTCTAGGACCAACTGTTTTCAGAAGAGTCCCCTGCCCAGACGCAGATTTGGAAATAAGGATTTGAGTGCAAGTAGTTTATTTGGGTGGTGATCCCAAGAAACACCAGTGGGACCGTGAGCATGTGAGACAGGAAAGGGAGGCCAGTCAACAAAGGATGGCCTTGAGCAGGTTCCTGAAGTGGGTAAGTGGGGCTCAGTCCTGTGGGGGCATTCTGGGAGACGGAGCTGAATACACCTCAGAGTTATTCTACCCAAGGGGTGAGGGAGCTGGGGTATTGATCCTTCCACTCTCATCTGTCACTGACTTGGAGCTGCTTCTGGAGGCACTAACTCTGTGGCATTTCCAGCCTGCCTTGCACTCAGAAAGCCCTCAGAGGAACAATGGAACATGCTTGTGGAAGGATGCCGCTGACAGGCAGAGAACAATGAGGGAATATGGGTGAAACATCAACAGTGCTGGGACGTCTGGATGGCTCAGTTGGTTAAGCATCTGCCTTTGGCTCAGATCATGATTCCAGGGTCCTGTGATCGAGTCCTGCCTCGGGCTCCCTGCTCAGTGGAGAGTCTGCTTCTCCCTCTCTCCCTCCTCTCTGCTTGTGATTGCTCTCTCTCTCAAATAAATAAAATCTAAAAGAACAAAACGAAACCAACCCAACCACCAACAAACAAACAAACAAACAAACAAACAAAAAACCCATGAACAGTGCTTGTGCCAGTCACTCACCCACTCGTCTGACAAATATTTATTGGATACTTGCTGTATTTGGAACTGAGGATACAGCAGGGAAGAGGGACACATGATCCTCACCCTTATAGAACTTCCCTTCTAACTGAGGAGGCAGCCAATAAACTAGCAAATGAGACAATGACAGTGACAGTGTGAAATGTCCTCTAGAGACCAATGTCAGAGACTATGGGGCCATCAGAGAATACCGGGGGCTGTGTATGAAGTGGGAGGAGCAGAACAGGCGGGTCTCTCTGGAATAGACATTTCAGCCAGGCCCTCAGAGGGCAGGCCATGTTTGTGCCTGGGAAAAGCCTTCCGAGCCTAGGAAATAGCAAGGACAAATGCTCTGAGCAGGACTGAGCGCATTTGTGTAAGAGAAAGGGAGAGAGGAGGAACATGGCACCTGCCCTGAGGACAACAGGGCTGGGCTTAGGGCTCTGGCAAGGAGTTTAGGTTTTATTCTAAATGCAACAGGAAGCATTGGAGGGTTAAAACCTGGGGTGGCACAATTTGATTTATCTTTTAGAAAGCTGACTCTGGGGCAGCCCCGGTGGCTCAGCAGTTTAGCGCCGCCTGCAGCCCGGGGCATGATCCTGGAGACCCGGGACTGAGTCCCATGTCAGGCTCTCTGCATGGAGCCTGCTTCTCCCTCTGCCTGTGTCTCTGCCTCTCTCTCTCTCTGCATTTCTATGAATAAATAAATAAAATCTTAAAAAAAAAAAAAGAAAGCTGACTCTGGGGCACCTGGGTGGCTCAGTCCATTAAGTATCTGTCTTTGGCTAAGGTCATGACCAGAGTCTTGGAATTGAGTCCGGCCCTGGTCTCCCTGCTCAGCAGGGAGTCTGCGTCTCTCTCTCCCTCTACCCCTCCCCACTGCTCCCCCCCCAAAATAAATAAATAAGTAAAATATTAAAAAGTGAAAAGGAAAGCTGACTCTGGTTGCAACCCCAACACCATTTTTCACCTGTGTGACTAGATTTGTGGTCAGCGTTAGGCTGGCCAGGCCCTGTCCCCAGGAAAGTGCTCAGTCTCAACCCTGGCCCCACCAACTCCCCTCTCCTGCCCCACACTTGACACAAGGTGATCCATTGGAAGCTAGTTTATTTTGATTGGTTTTTCATGGGGCTGGGCGGGGCTGGGAGATAGCTGGGCTTTGAAGCTCTGTCCTAGGGACGTTGGTCCTCTTCCTCAGCACTGCGGCGGCCGAAGTCCATCCATCCGTATGCTGCTTCTTCTTCTTCCATCCACGGTCCCTGCTTCTTGGACAGGTCTGAGGGTCAGAGGAGGAAGAGGATGTGAGGATACGGGAAGGATGGTTAGCTGCCAAACCAAGGCCAGGGCCAACCCTGGCTGGGTGAGGCAAGCAGAGGCGGCTGTCCTGGCAGGTTCCTACCTGCCACCAGCTGTGGGGGACCCTGGAGCCCTAGCTGCCTTCGGTGGTGAGAGGCTGGGCCCAGTTGGTCCAGCCCATGTGGCTCCAGACCCCTATTTGCTCCTGGACCCGAGGGTGCATCTTGCAGCCAGGAGCGGGGCTTCCAAGAAGCTTCAGAGAAGGTGGCCAGAGCCAGTGCCAAGATCAGTACGTACACACATAGTCGCTGCATCTTGTCTGCAAAGGAAAGAGGGGCAGAGCTGAAAGCTGGGCCATACGGGCACCCCTGGTCCATCCAGTGGCCTAGACCAGATGGACTCTGCTGGCATGTATGCCGCTGTGTGGGGTTGTGGACTGTTCCTCATTTTGCTTCTCCAGTTCCTGCCAGGCACTCCTACTCCCAGGCCTGGCCCCTTCCCTCCTCACCTACCTTAATTACAGCAGCAGCTTCTCTCAGAGGAATTTACAACCTGGAGCAACTTCTGCAAAATTCAAGGCTCTGTGAGTGGCTCTGTAGATATTTATGTTTGTAGTTTAAAGTGAGCTTTTATTTAGTTTTGTTTTTTAAAAAAGATTTTATTTATTTGACAGAGAGAGAGAAAGAGTGAGAGCACACAAGCAGGGGGAGCAGGAGAGGGAGAAGCAGGCTCCCCACTGAACAGAGAGCCCGATGTGGGACTTGATTCAGGACCCCTGGATCATGACCTGAGCTGAAGGCAGACACTTAACTGACTGAGCCACACAGGTGCCCCTGAAGTGAGCTTTTAAACAGTAACACCAAAGTGCACATTACAGACTGCAGGGTATCTCTTTGGAGGCCACGAGCATATTCACTATGTGGTCGGGTCACACCGTTTCTGTGCCGCCCGAGGAGGGAAACTTCTCTTGCCAATTTTGCTTAACTGAGGAATATCTTGCGATTATAATCAAGCAGTTAAAAATGAAGCTGTTGCCGTTTGCACCTGTGTGTCAGGGTGACCTGAGTTTGGGGAAGCCATAATACAGAGATAAACTGGGTATTCAAATGACTCTAAAATTCAATTCTAAAGTTCCATTCTCTGCATTTGTGTTCTTTCATCCTCATTATATGGATGGGCTTTATCAGAAGCAAAATATAAAAATGTTACCTTCCAGGAACACATTTATATGAATAAAATACTATTTTTATCTGTTTTTCACAGTGAGGTTCTCTGTTAGATTTCCTTTGGGTTCTTGATGCTAAAGATACACGATTGAACAGTCAGTGATCTAGAGCCACACAGGCCCATTCTAGCCACATGTATTGTCCAATGTGGTAGCTACTGGCCCCATGTGGCTCTTTACATGTAAATTAATTAATATTAAATTTTTCTCCCCTAGGAGAGCCACCGTTCCAGTGCACCTGTGGCTGGTGGCTACCATATTTGGGATGGTGCAGATACAGATCCTCTCCTCATGGAAAGTTATTTCAGACAGTGCTGGTCTAAGAAAGAGCTTGAGATGGGATCCAGAAGCCCTGGGTTCTAGTTCCAACCCTGCCAAATAATTTGTGTGACTTTGGACAAGTCACATCTCCTTCAGGGCCTCAGATTTTTCACCCGAGAGTTGAGAGAATAGCCTTTGTCCTTCTCACCTTGCAGACCTAGGGTGAGCGTGAAGTAGGAGGGTTGTAGCATCAGGTCAGCTCAAAGGAAAGGGTTGGGAATGCCAGGGTGGGTTCTAGAGCTGAGACCTAGTATGGTGTCGAACTAAGAGAAGGGTGGCAGCCCTGGAGACACCGAGGCGTGAGCCTGGTACCTTGATGCAGGGAGTCGTCCCATCAACCCTCTTCCCCGCCTTTATAATCCCCTCCTGGGTGCTCTTACCTGCAGAGCTGGGAGGTGGGCGATGCTGTAGCTGGCCTGGTGCCTTTCTGTTCTCTGTTCTGCTGGGTGCTCCAGCGCTGCCTTATAAAGCTCTCAGGGCCCCTCCCAGACCCCCATGAGGCCGGCCTCCACTATATCAAGACAAAAGGGGGTGGGCACAGGTACGTCACCCCTGCCCTACCCCATCATTCAGTCAGTCATCCACATGTGGGAAGGGAAGGGAATTGACCTTCATGGCAGTGAGGAGCAGGTGCAGGGTTGGGGCAGTTCTTCAGCTGGACATGAGGGCAGGCAGGACCCCAGGGACTCCCTGGGATCAGGAACAGTGCCCCCCACCCAGTCGTTGGGGTCAGAGTCTTGGTATGCATCAGTCCTCTGACTCTGTCCCATTGGAGGGCAGGTGAGGCAGATGCACCGAGTGACCTTGGATTCAGAGGAAGCATATTTCATCATACATTGATGTTTGAAGAGCAGGGAGTGTGTGGTTGTGGAGTGCTGTATTGATCCCCTGTCCCCTCTGCTGGGCTCTGCAAACAGTGCGTGAGGTAGTTATCAGGGGCAATGGGGCATGGGCTGATGGCCCCATTTTCTCTGCCCTGGGGCTGCAGCTGGTTGCCGCTTCACCTCCCTTGCCTGGAAATCCCTGAACGCTCCCCACTCCTTGTGCCTTAGTGCTGGCTAGGTTTGGCTTGCAGCTCCCCTCCATCTCAGGTCTGCCCTTTACGCCCAGCCTCTTGCAACCCCCCTACTCAGGGCTGATTCCTTCAGGCAGCTACACTTGGAGGCTCCCTCCTTTGGTTTTCAAGGGGGGATAGCAATCTGAATAACTCATTCACCACTTTTCAATATAAAAATACATCTTAGGGGCACCTGGGTGGTTTAGTGGTTGAGCATCTGCCTTTGGCTCAGGTCGTGATCCTGTGGCCCTGGGATTGAGTCCTGAATTGGGCTCCCCAGAGGGAGCCGGGTTCTCCCTCTGCCTATGTCTCTGCCTCTCTCTGTGTTTTCTCATGAATAGATAAATAAAATCCTTAAAAAAATATGTCTTAAAGTGGTTAGCAAAGAGACTAAAGGGTTTGCCCAAGATGTGCCAGAGCACCAGACAGTAAGCTTGTTGACTTCTTTTTTTTTTTTTTTTTATTTATTTATGATAGTCACAGAGAGAGAGAGAGGCAGAGACACAGGCAGAGGGAGAAGCAGGCTCCATGCACCGGAAGCCCGACGTGGGATTCGATCCCGGGTCCCCAGGATCGCGCCCTGGGCCAAAGGCAGGCGCCATACCGCTGCGCCACCCAGGGATCCCAGCTTGTTGACTTCTTTGATAAATTGCCACCTTGGCCTGGTTTGGACAGATAGATGTAACTAGTTCTAGGCTGCTTTTGATTTTTCTATGGTTGGCATTAGAGATTTTGCTCTTGTTCATGTGTCATCAGGGCCCCTCCTTGTCTGGGGGAGCTCTGATGCCCCTTGGGTCTGGATAAGGGGCAGTGGTACCCACGCTCACAGCCAGCCTTGCTGAGAATTAACAGGTGATGAAGCAGGCTGTGAGGTGTCCATGGCAACCAGCAGCCGAAAGTTCTGGTGAATAACCACTCTAATCCAGAGCAGGGCTCCGTGACTCAGCAGATGGAATTAAGTGAAAATGACAAAACCAGTGCAGGCATTGGTGATAATGACTTGAAGCCAGAATCCTAGAGATGGAAAGGCCTTTGAGGGGGCTTGGGAGATGGTGGCGTGGGGAGCAGTTCTGTTCACATGCTGGAAGAATAGAGAGGTTCGTGTTACCTTGGTGATGAGAAATTAGAAGCTTTCTGCAGAGCCTTAGATGCACCAGAACCCACGATTTCTGCTGTGGAGGGGCTTATGCACAACCCCCGCATTGCCCCAGCTATTCTCAGGCTGATCACACCAGGGCTGGTGATGATAGCAGCAAACAGAAGTGGGTATTCACTCAACAGATGATGGTGGAGCACCCCCTGACTATGGGCACTGGTGGGCTCACAGGGAGGGCTCCGCTCAGAGTGGAGAGAAGGCACTAGTCCCAGGTTGCTCAACATCACAAAACTACATATTCTGCTCACAGGTGAACCTTGTCCCATGGGAAAAGAAAGGATTTCCAGGCCCCTGCCCTTTTCCAGATGTTGTGCTGTGGGCAGATCTCTCCCCCTCTCCAAGCTATGTTCTTCTCCAAGAAATGAGGAAAAGAACTTGGGTGGGGGGAGTCTCGTGAAGGTGATGTACATAAAACACTGTGCACAGTGCCCAGAACATCTTGAGGGCCTAATTTATTTGCACCTTTAGCTCTATCCTCTCCAGACCTCAGTTAGCCTCACCTATGAAATGGGAATCATTCATTCCTACCTCATAGGGCTACTGTGAAGGGAAAATGTGACAAGGTCTGGGCACACGCTTTGCACGTATCAGAGAGCTTCTCCTTTCCCCAGGCTTAAAGAGGGTGATTCCCTAAAAAAGCATCATCTGTGCATCTAAGATTTTCCCTCCTGACTGGCTGTGACTCAGAGGGACACTTGTCTTAGGTTGCCACTGAAAGACTTGGCAGGGATGGAATCTATCTATGGAGGCTGGGCCTCTCTGACGTTAGAGGATTTTGGAATTGGTGAGGCCAGGATAGACTCCCGGTTCCAACACCTAGACTACCTGGGTGACCAGAGCCTTCAGAAAGGAGCACAGCCCTGGTGATACCTGCATTTCGGCCCGGGGAGCCACACTGTACCTGGGACTCCTGCCCTATAGAACTGGCAGAGAATGAATTGGTGTTGTCTTAAGCTTCTAAAGTTAGTGGGAGTTTATTATGGCTGGAACAGAACACAAATATGAGGGGTTCCAGCCTCATTAAGGTTTCTGTCGGTAAGAACTGGTTCTGCGCAAATTGGCACGTGATTTTTTTTTTTTCCCAAATACAAGTGAGGAAGATGTTCGTTAAAGTATTGGGCCAGTCATCGATTCCATTTTCCTTCCAGTTAGTGAGCACCTGCTGTAAGCCAGGGGCAGGATGAGGCCCCAGGGATAAGAGGTGAATATGATTGGCCCTTTCATGGGTTGGTGGCATTTAGAGTCCAGGGGAAGGGGGCATCGAAAAATAGACATAGTAACAACAGTGGAGAGGACTTTCCTTGGGGAGGGAGACTCCCAGGGGCATTCTGCACGCCTGATCACACTCCCACCTGCCAGCGGTGGCCCTGGCAAGCAGCAGTACTGGAGAGTTGCAACCGCTGTCACCGGCCGCTGAGCCTCCTTATTGGTATTGATGGAGGACAAGGGAGAGGCTAGGATGCTGCCTGCGGAGGGTGCAGGTGCTGGGACAAACAGTGACACCTGGGAGGTGTTCCAGTCAGCATGGACATCGTGGTCCCTCCCGGGGCGAGGG